GGGTTGGAAAGGACCTTAAGATCATCCAGTTCCAACCCCCCTGCCATCAGCAGGGACACCTCACACTAAACCATGTCACCCAAGGCTCTGTCCAACCTGGCCTTGAACACCATCAGGGATGGAGCATTCACAACCTCCGTGGGCAACCCATTCCAGTGCCTCACCACCCTAACAGGAAAGAACTTCCTCCATATATCCAACCTAAACTTCCCCTGTTTAAGTCTGAACCCATTACCCCTTGTCCTATCAGTACAGCCCCTAATGAAGAGTTCCTCCCCAGCATCCTTATAAGCCCCCTTCAGATACTGGCAGGCTGCTATGAGGTCTCCACACAGCCTTCTCTTCTCCAGGCTGAACAGTCCCAACTTTCTCAGCCTATCTTCATATGGGAGGTGCTCCAGTCCCCTGATCATCCTCATGGTCCTTCTCTGGACTTGTTCCAACAGTTCCATGTTCCATATAATGTTTTAATGAAAATACCTGAAAGAAGGAAACATGAAACCTAGTCTAATCTAGCCTAATTTCAAGTGCAAGAATATATATGTCCCTATGATAGAGCTAGTCAATACCATTACCTTTTTTCTTGTACCTTTGGATAGGAATTGTCTGCAATTGTTTGCAGGCATGAAGAGATTGATTGTTTAATTCACTGGTTCAGATGAGAATTTGGCTTCCTCTTGAAATTCAAAAGGAAAAATATAATGCTTCTCTTGGCAAATTATTATCAGAAATCAAAAAATATTTTCCAAGTAGTGTTTTTCAGAGTTCTTTTCACTGGAAATCTTAGGTTTCTCAAAAAGCAACGCTTATACAAGCAATGATGTTCTTGAACAAAGACTCTTTAACAGTGCTATGTAAGTTCTCCAACTATTATTTATTCTATTAGAAAGAATTTGGAATTTATAGAAGCTCCATCTCCCCTTGCTGGCACAGTTTTCTTATTACAAATTAATTCCCTGCCAAAAATGGTTTTGTTTTTATCTGATGATCCAAAGCAGTGCCTTTGATAGAACGGTTAAAGAATTTAATCATTTATTTATTAAAGTAATCCACAATTTGGAAGAGGAAAAAGAAGTAGGCATCCTTGCGATATTTCAAAGATGAAGTATATTGTTATAATAACCAGATACTTGGAGTTTGTTCAAGTTGATACTATTTAAACAGTAAGATCTAATTAAATATTTTAATTTGAAAGAAAATCTGTTGGCTGTTTTCCCAAAAGTATGTAAGGTTGCTATGGACAAACCAGGTAGTGGGAATCCTTCCAAGATTTTTTCCTTACAACAGTATCATCTGGGGAATGCAAACCTAGATGTAGGAAAATATTCACAGCTCAAAGTTGCAGTCAGTGTCCAGTAATATATAACCATAAATTTACTATTAGATACAAGCTGAAAGGTGTGCATTACCTCCCTGCTTTTATTTATTTATGCACGTGGTCTTATATTTGCATTCTGTCCAGTGCAGTTTGGTAGTGACGCAATGTGGACTCTCTCCAAAGTCTGAACACCTCCCTAACACCAATAAACAGGCTTACATTTTCCTACAGTCTGGTATCCCCCACAAAACACTTATTGAACATGACCTGCCTCAAATTAACATGTCGCTCTGAATCACAGCCTCACAGTATGAAGCCAATAAAGTCAGGTTTTATGGAGCTGAAGCCATCTCACAGACAACACTGAGGTTTGGCCAATATAAAAAGTAAAAGTGGTCAAGGAAGGCTAAGGGTGGAATTTATTATTTCACATTACTGCCATCTTCTATAACACAAGAATCAAAGACTAAAACCAAAACTCTGTGAGTGGACTGCTAATTCCCAGAATATTGATAAGGGTCCTGTGATCCAAACTGAAGAGTTGCACCAGGATTCACTAGTTATATGAGAAATATAAAGCACATGGCATAACTCAGCCAAAGCTCTAACTCTACCCTGTTTTTCAGATTAAGCTCTTGCTTCATTTTCACACATTCCAGTATCTTTCCTTGTACTATGCCTGTTATTTATTTATAGATCTTGTATATTTTCTCAGTCTACTAAATTGTTTTTCAAGCACAATGCAAACTTCCAAAGTCATTAGACATTTCAGTCTGCATAAAAAGACATAAACAAACACCAACACACAGTTGAAAGAAAAGGCAGCATATTCATATACCCTGGTAACACCCAAAGAAGACATATAAGGTTCAATGAGCTCATTACACTGGACATTAAGCAAATGAAAATGAGATAAACTAATTCCCAAAAGGTCTGCAATCTCACATATCTGAGGGTTGGAATTAACTGATAAGCCTATCCCCATTTCTCTTCAGTCTTAGAACAATTTGGCTGTGATCTACTTTTTGCTCTGCTTTCAAGAGATTAGAATCACAGGGAAATGGAGCAGATATTTAATTAAACTATTCCCTTTTTTATGTCATTTTTTGTTCCTAACCTCCTTCTGTATGTCTTCGCTGCATGATATTTTAATCTTCATTCTCCTACATACTTCCTCCTTTCTGGCACATGAAGTTCCTTTCATCCAGGCTCCATCCCTCCATTCCATGGTATCTTTCTAATTTTTTCCTCAATACAGTTAAGCTAATGAGAGTTTAACTGCACTTTATGGAACGATCTGTTTCACAAGTAGGGTTCCGTCTTCAGCTATAGGTATTTCAATAATGACCAGGTAAGTGCCCAGTAAACAGAAAGTCCACAACATCAGTGACAGATGTTCTAAGCACCTACAAGCAGGCTTTTGCTGTCTGGGAAATATTCCTATGTTTGAAAACCCTAGGGTTACAGTAAAAATTGCCAGATCAAGCAAAATTAAATGCAAGTTCTGTGCACGTTTATTGTTAAAACAAGGGTTGAATTATTTAGCCCAGCCTCAAAAGATTTCCTGCAATAATGGCAGACTATTGCTCTATGGAAAGTTTACAGAGCCATTATTTTCTTGGTCTTTTTCTAAATACATCGCAAAACAAAAATACTCCACAAATTACCCACTTCCAGCACGTTCTTCACAAAGCCAATTCACCTGGAGTGTTCAAATTGCCGTCAATAGGAAGTGATGACAGTGAACTGCGAAACTCCAAGGAACTATAACCAGCAACTATAACCAGATAAGAGCTTCTTTTGGTGGGTAGACGCAACTGAGGAACTGTAGTAGCAGTCTGTAATAACTGTCACTTCTGATCACCATGGGAACCAAACAGAGGTCTACTTCACAGAAAACAGATCAGCAGTGACTCACTGACTGCTTGGGAAGCATGATTATTGAGAATCACTAGACTTGTGTGGGTGACAAGGAACAATACGCTAGTGATGCCATTTTAACTATAGTCCAACAGAGCAGACTCCTCTGTTAGACATGCAGGATGAAATCAAGTAAATTAGTACTTTGCCTTTGTGTTCATTAGAGACAAATTTCACCTTTAGTTTTTTTCTGCAGCTTCAGTCTTGTGCAGACTCTTTGCTATAAGAGGATTTCACTTTTAGTGAATAAAGTCATAACTGGGCTTAAACTGGGCTTTACCAGTTCTTTTGCAACCCTCTTAGTGACAGATTTAACCCTTGAGTGACAGATGTTTAAAGTTATGTCATTTCCTCTGAGCTACACTGTGATGTGGATGACACAAACAAGATGAGCAGTATCTTTGTCTGGACTACCCAGATACTGAGAAGTTGAGTCCTTAAGCTCCAGGTTCTACATTAAGAAGAAAGCAAAATAAATGCACTGTCTCATCAGTGTAAGCAAAAGGCCAGTTGTCTTAAAGGTGAAATAGCTTGTACTACTAGACCAAAATTTGCAATCCAACAAGATAATTGGTTTGTTTTTCAGCTAATCACAAACTGTAGTTTCAATCTTATGCTTTGATACTCCAGAATTCTTCTAGATTCAGTTGTCCAAGTTACATGAATTCAAGCATAATATTTCAGGGTTGTCAAGGGATCTCAAATTGGAGAGTCTGAGATTATAAATCCTGAAGCCACTGTCTTTGCTAAACTATTTCCACTGTCTCAACAGCTCTGGCTGGAGAAAGAGCGACAACTGCAAAGGAACTGGTATTACAGCCCAAACATTTAAGTGCTTCTTCTTTAAAAATGGTAATTCAAGATATTTTGACAAAACCAAACTATATTCCTTAAAAATAATTCTGCCATTCGATGTCTCCTCATGTTCTATTATCAATTCTCACACTGAACCATCATTTGAGTGCCTAAATATTCTCCAAGGATGCCACCAAATGCACAGCTGGCAGCTGGCATATAGGGCTTCTTTTGTGTTCCTCCTCCTAACAGAAACATCCATAGATTGCAGGCTCTGAAAGAGCAGATATACTTACTTCTCCATGAAATGCCATGTGCTTTTATTAACAAAGGCTTAAGAAATTCTGCTCAGCATAGAGGAATTTTGATGAGCAGAAAATAAGTTCCTTAAGCACAATTTGGCCAGGACAGAATATAGCGTCCTGTCATGCTGTTTCTAGATCTGTGGGTCCTTGGGAATACCACAGACAAGAGTCTGCTAATCCAAGACAAAGGCATGCCCTTAGCTCTTCAGTTTGATGGGTACAGGCCCACGTGGCATAAATGAATGTATTATCTATTGCCGAGACTCCAGTCCACAATACTGAAACATTTCTCAGTTGATCGGTAAGCTTTTGAGATGAAAAGATGCAGAGGAACAAAAATATTAAGAAACCACCATACCTCCCACACATTCAGAGGATGAGTCATTAAGAGGCCAATTCTGCAAAGTGCTCCACACTTCTCTGCAGCTCTGCACAGGAAAAATGAAGCAGCAACGTAAACCAAGAAAAAGTACCCTTTGCAACTGTCCCACCACCAACTGGTAGGAGCTTCCTTTCTTTCTTTCCTCAGCCCACACATGAGGGTTCAGATGTCAGCAGCAGAACAAGTGATGTTCAAATTTAGGCCTGTCCACATTTTTGATTATTCTTCCCAGCAACTGAAGGATACAAGGGGACAAATAACTCGAAAGATTACTGGCATCTTGTTGTTGGCTCTTTGTTTTGTTGTTGGCTAGCTGAACTGTGATGTATCCTAGGTGGTTTCTCTGCTTTGGGAAAGGCAATCGTGATCAGGTCAGGCATGGACCTAATTGCTTTGTAATAAATAAACTTACGCTGTGCAAACCATTTTGACCAGACATAGAACATGTGATGTGGAAGCTATACTGTTATGCTAAGGTAAACAGGTGGGAAGCAAACCTCCATGTTTATTACTCAGCACTATTTGAGTTCTCATCAGCTTGCCCTGCAAGAACAAGACTCAACAGATGTAATCAACAGAAATTAATTCACACAGAGACATTTTAACAACACCCCTTAATCTTCAATCTGATTTCATCTTGGTTCACTTCTGAAGGGGTCAAGAAAGAGATGCATATTTGTCTTCAGGAGCTGGAAGCCTGAAAGAGCTAATAACCCAAGCATCATATTTCTAGAGAAGAGCAGTAAATGTCACAAATACTTAAAAGAGGACAAGCAAGAAATATTTTTAAATACTTCTTTTTACAGGCCTCACACCAAACAAACTACCTCTTAGTTGAGCTGCAAGTTACTGGAAACCATAGTCAATGGTTGTTCATTGGTCTTAACAGATGTCAGTTAAATGGGCAGGAATTTCACAGTTCACGGTGTTTCACTTCTTCATGTCCAGTTTTTCTGTTTTGCTTTTTTCCTTTAAATTTAAAAGTGTTTATTAATCTACAGTAATGAATTAATGTAGTGTGGATTGGCTTTTTTTTGTTTATTTGTTAGTTTAAAGTGTATGGCATAGTATGTCCTGTTAACAAAAGTTTGACTAAAGAATTATGGAAAAGGCTTTAATAATTTATATACTTGTTCAGCCGTATGGAAATGTACAATCTGATTTTTGTTCTGTGGGAAGCCAACAGTTGCTATAAACTTGACGAATTTTGAAACCTTACGTACATTATTAAATACAACAATTTGCTAAAGTAATACTAACACTCATTCTGTTACAATTTGTCATACTTGAGATGCTTAGAGATGAGTCAGGGATACAAAACTCTAATAGTGATCAAAATTCCTCTACAGTTGAGGAGGATGCAGCACTGGAGTTTAGTGCTGCTATCTCTAAAAATACAATCACTACATCCTTATGTGAGGAAATGTCATTAAAATATTACACAGAACAAAAGACATAACATAATAGCTTGGTTCATTAGTATTTTTTTCCATGTAATGCTTTATAAAAGACACAAAGTGAAAAAAAAACCACACAAACCCAGACATGTATATATTATGATGAAGTACATTGTTCTTATTTAAATAAATTTCCTTAAGGAATATCTTCTTAAGATGTGAAAATTAACCACTAGTATTTGTCTCACTGTATAAAAGTGACAGTAGTAATTATAAAGAACCTCATGGTCCTATGATTATTTTCTCCTTAAGTTTTCACAGCAAAAATATTAAAATTTGCAATATTACCAAAAAGATGCAAACCTGTCAAATATATTACTCTGAAGTAAATTAACAATTAATTTAATAGCTCTTATGGTAGGTTCCTATAAGTGGACAGTAGTAATGGTTTTCTATATAAAATCTATCAAAAATTGTTGGAGAAAATATACGAAGCGTAGCTGATAGCTGATGCAATCTGCAATATGGCCACAGAGAAGTAAGTTGCAGATCATCAAAGTTAGCTCTTGTGCAGAAACATCCACCACGAGTTCACTAACTTCATTTTCCACTGGAGAAGAGCAGGATGTTTCCATAATGCAACCATCATAGGAAACTGATTCAACGCTGTACTTTAAGCTTTACCCGTAGTTGGAACTTGCAAGAGTTTAGGTTTTTTGGTGCTGTGGTCTCTCTTGCTCTCCAGAAGGCTACGTAAATATAAAAATCTTCACCACAAAGACAGCTCTCCTTAAAGCACTGGCAACTTGTCTTAGTAGAAGACTGCTCAAAACAAAAGAAAGGGACAAATTTAGATAGTCTGGTAAAACCACATTGGTAAAGCAATACAGTAACACTACACAAAACAGAGAACTAGGTTGTCATTTAGAGGCTGAGATATTTGTAGCCTATGACTTGCAGACACACATGCACATAAACTTGTGGAGCTCAGAGGACCCTTTGCAGATCTAAAGGTGTACATCTGTGTAAGTCTTTTTAAGCTTGAGCCAGTAGCCAAGCTCTTGCACCAGTGAAGGCAAAGTGCACTTGCAACTATGCTGAATAGCAAAAAATATCGAGTGATTCTACCCAACCTCAGGCATTTAGCTAAAGCACCTAGACAAGGACCTAATTAAGCTAGGCTCTGTACATCAGCTACTGATGGAAAGCTGCAGCTTCAAGAAGGTGCTTCACTGTTGGCCAGGTAAAGGGTGATGGTGTTCCTAGCTCACATATCTCAGCCAGGTTACTGAAATCAGGGGTGACGACCAGCTGATGGTCTCCCTGTAGAAGAGTCCTCCTAGCAAAGTCCACAGAGCTTTAACCACTCACATTATTAAAGATAATCAATATATGGGTGTTCTGCTCTAGTAGGCCTGTTTCCAGCACTAGGACCAGCCAGAACTGTTTCTGGCTCTTTACCTAAACTACAATCATAGAATCATAGAACAGTTAGGGTTGGAAAAGACCTTATGATCATCTAGTTCCAACCCCCTTGCCATCAGCAGGGACACCTCACACTAAACCATGTCACCCAAGGCTCTGTCCAACCTGGCCTTGAACACCATCAGGGATGGAGCATTCACCGCTTCCCTGGGCAACCCATTCCAGTGCCTCACCACCCTAACAGTAAAGAATTTCCTCCTTATATCAAATCTAAACTTCCCCTGTTTAAGTTTGAACTCGTTACCCCTTGTCCTATCATTACAGTCCCTAATGAACAGTCCCTCCCCAGCATCCCTACAGGCCCCCTTCAGATACTGGAAGGCTGCTATGAGGTCTCCATGCAGCCTTCTCTTCTCCAGGCTGAACAGCCCCAGCCTTCTCAGCCTGTCTTCGTACCAGAGGTGCACCAGCCCCCTGATCATTCTCGTGGTGCTCCTCTGGACTTGTTCCAACAGTTCCATGTCCTTTTTATGTTGAGGACACCAGAACTGCACACAGTACTCCAAGTGAGGTCTCACAAGAGCAGAATAAAGGGGCAGGATCACCTCCTTCAACCTGCTGGTCACACTCCTTTTGATGCAGTCCAGGATACGGTTGGCTTTCTGGGCTGCAGGCGCACACTGAAGCCGGCTCATGTTCATTTTCTCATCGACCAGCACCCCCAAGTCCTTCTCTGCAGGGCTGCTCTCTTCTCTGCCCAGCCTGTAGCTGTGTCTGGGATTGCTCCGACCCAGGTGTAGGACCTTACACTTGGCATGGTTAAACTTCATGAGCAAGCATGTCAAGGTCCCTCTGGATGGCATTCCTTCCCTCCAGCGTATCAACCAAACCACACAGCTTGGTGTCATCAGCAAACTCACTGAGGGCACACTCAATCCCACTGTCCATGCCCCCAACAAATTAGGAAAGCATTCTGCTTTCTATGGAAATTGTTGGCAGTTCTGTAATTTCTCTCTCCCCACTGGCTGGGCATCAGAACAGTTCCCTTTTGAAATTTGTCAGTGTTTATTTATTTAGTTCAAATTCTGAATGGAAACTTGTTTCATTTTTCTTCAGACACCAACTTTTAAACAACTTTTTTTTTTTTAGTCAATTAGTTGACACTTAAGTCAGGAATAGAGCCTGTAAATTTACACTGCCTTATTCTGGCCAGTGCAAGCCAGGAGAACAAAGCCCCACAGATTCTCCCATAGCAAGAGGAAAGCTCTGGTAAATTAGTTAGCGGATGCCTCCCTCTGGTCCTTAAGGTCCTCCACAAAATGGAGATGTTCTCTAACTGTAAGCTACTCATTCTTGGGAAAAGCTTTGTGTCTACAGATGCTGGTCTATGCACTGCTGATGCACCTCACCTTTCATGGGAGGTCATAGTGCTGCTGCAGGATTAGCTGTGGCATGGTTGAATACAAGGACATTTGATTTTCACTCATTCCCAAACAGAGTAATACAGAGTTCCCTCGCTTCTTACTTCTCGGCAACAAGGCGACTTTACCTGCTTTCCAGTTTATGTCTGTACAACTGAGAACTGGCCCCTGATCCAGCCTTTAGAAGAGCTACGCTGTAGCTGGAGATGTAACTGGATGATTCTAAACCATCTAAGAGCAGCACAGTGAGCACTGCCACCTTATTTCCATTCAACAAATGCATGCCAAGCACATAACATTAATGAAGATATACTGTACCTCCGGCTGTCTGCATCTTGATGTGTTTATTTCCTTTTAATCTTAATTAAAATACAAAAGATAAAGGTGGTTAAAACATTGTAATATATCACTAATTTAGAGCACCATTTCAAAGAAACCCATGCAACAAAGGTACTACTGCTCCAAAAGCACAAAAATACATTTTGGTGTATACTATTATTGCTCTTCATTTTTTTGTTTTGCAGCAAATTCTGGAAGCACCACACAGGAACTCATCTCTGTGCTGTATGCATCTGACAACAGCATTTTGCTGTATTAAATCTAAACAATATTACATGACTTCATAATTATACATTTATGACTTGTGTTATTAAGTACCTATAATCCTGATGATTTTTTTGCACTGTTTGAAAATCTCACATGGAAAAGAAACAGTTTCCACTGGGTTTCTTATATGAACAGAAATAAATCTGAAAGCAAGCACTTACTAACTGTTATTACTGGAATTCACCACAATGCAAGTAAACACCTTCAAAACTAAAAATAGCATGATGGCTCTGCAAGTGCATCTAGCACAGCCTCTTAGTCCTAACAGGATTTTGTTTTCTTTGAATTCACAAAGCACTCAGAGCATGGAGAAGCTGTTCAGAAGACAATGTACCACATTGTCAGCATCTGTTCTAGGGTCCTTCTGCAAAAGTGTGTTAGATTTTAAATAAACGGGCACAATCACTTTAACAGTTATAAATAGCCCCGCTGCCTAAAGAGGCTCCAAGGCTAGCCAGTCTGTCTGAAATAATAATTGATTTTTAAAGGAAATGCATCCTACTCAATTAAAATTAAACTGAAAAAGCTGGAGAAATGCAATACACATCCTTCCAATACCTTTCGATGCAGCTTTCGTCTGACTGGAAACCATGGCAGCCGCATCCGATGGCAGGCCAACATACACACCACCGTAGTTCCTGATTTAAGGAAACATAGAGACATCAGAGCTTAATTGTACAATGTCAGCATCCCACAGCAGCATTACAAAGACCATGGACAGACAGAGAGGGCACCGCTGCACAAGTATCCACAGAGGAACCCTCCTTTGCCATCACTATGGGGAAAGTGCCACTAAGGTCCATGTGCTTGCTAATATGGCGCCAGGCAAAACAACCTGGAGGTTAGATGTTACTCTTAAGGGAGGACCAAAGCCTGTGAAAGGAGCTATTTTTCACCCGATTTCTTAATAGTTTTCATTAAATCCCATTAAAGCTATCTTGTGACAATAAACCCCACCTGCCCAGCTTCTTCTGGGCACCGAATATATCCAACTGATGAGAGCCAATCTGGTAACAATGTTTGACACCGCAACCACTGAAGCACCTCACTTCAAACAATGCACACCAGTTAAGTAGCTTTGACTTCTCCTCATTAATGAATAGGACTTGCATCCCCATGTTTAAGGCCCTTCAGGGCCTTGCAGAACATGCTTTCTGGCTCCGAGGCCTGTATGAAAAGCAGGGAGGTGAAAAACTGGGTCCTTAAAAGCCTCTGCCACGCCTGGAGTTACTTGCAGAGACTTCCACTACACTGCTTTGCCCCGTTAGGTGCCACATTATTTACACCTCCTCCAGCCCCTGCGGCTCAGAGTTGTTTGTTTGTTTCTGGTTTGTCTGATGATATACTTCCATACTTCCTTCAATTTCCAGCCCAGCAGAGATCTCCCACAAGTGCTAATGCCATCCTCTGTGCCCGGGCTGGTGTGAAGGCAGAGATCACTGGCCTTACTGAGCACATCACCTGCAACTGTGAGATAATGTGCTCTTCTTGCTGGAAAGTTCCACCCTCCCCAGCTCACTACAGGGTAGTGGCACTCATCAATACTGGGCTCTGTGTGAGATCACCTCCTCTCTCTTCTTTTTCTCTGCTTTGCTGGTGTTGGTGAGAATTAGGAGGGAAAGAAGGAGAAAGAACTCATTGCAGCCAATTGTAAATAAAGCCAGCCTCAATACAGCACCTACCTCCTTTTGTCATCATCTGATACAGATTCTTCTGCTCTGTAACATCAAAAGATATAAAGCACATTAGCAGATTGTTTCTTTCAGGTACTTCATGACCATCTGGCTACATTCAGGAACAAGGGAACAAGGGGATTATCACTGATCCCGGTTCAGTTCAGGTCATCCACCTTTCAATAAAGTACCCCCAACAGGTACAAAAAGAGTGACAATTTTCCAATCTAATGTGCAGAAGAAAGAAAAGGACTGAAACCAGGTGCAGCTTACTGTTCATGGCCCCTGCCAGGGATGCCTGAAAGTAGATTTGGCAGCTGAAACAGCTGAATTGATGCTTTTCCTAAGTGAGGGCCCACACTGCCTCACACATGACAGGAACACAAAGATTCTGCACATGATAGGAATGAGTCTGAGCTGCTCTTCCACCAAAAGAGGACTGGAAGGGACTGGGCATCCGTGCTGGCATGGGATTAATGATGAGGAAAGATAAACTTTCACAGCAACCATGCCAGAAGATATGACAGAGCCTTTCCGTAGAATGAGGTACTGCAATTCCTGAAGCCAGAGTCATTTGAAAACCAAATAACTGTTACTAATCCTTTAGAAATGGGCAATCACTGAGGTTTGACTCCCCCCTGCTACTGTTCAGGGTGGATGAACCAGAGTAGGGGGTAAAATAATCAGTGTCAATGTGAAGGCAAATGTAGCATGGAGAAGATAGAAAATTTATTCTTACTCCCAGAAGGTATAGTGCCTGTGGTGCAGTCTCTGCTCCCCCACATCAGTCTTCACATAAATCACTCACCCACCTTTGATCAAACATTTAGACTTTGAGCTCCGCTTTAGCTGGGTATGGATTGGGGCAGCAGCTGAACTTTAGCTTGGTCTGCAACCTACAGACCTAGCAATATTAACAGAGGCAAGATAACTTGATTGCTGTTAAATCCACAGACATCCTTTATTCCTTCCCTACAACTGCCCGAGCAAGGGTCCCACACTGCAGCTGCACAGGGAGCCACGAGAGATGGGTGCCTGGGGATGGCTGCAAACAGCAAAGGAAGCACCATGACAGAGGAGGGCTCTGCTGTGGAAATGCTAATGCACAGGCTGTTCACATAGATATCCTCACCTGAATGTTCCCACCGAAGAACCAACTGCTTGGACTATGGGGGCAATGCAAAGATGTTGCCCATCATGAGCTGATTCATGAATTTCTGATCTGCTCCACAGGCAATAAAACTGAGAGATAGACTTCACACAGCATTAGGGCTAAATCCATTCTGTAGCCTTGAAAGGCATTTGTGAACTATGAGCTTAAAAAATAACATATGACATTTCTTACCATAATTTATTTATTCTAAAAGATAGATGTGCCTCATGTTTAATCATAAGGGCTGTATGGTATTACTGATCCCCAAAGTCAATGGGATTTTGGCCTGAAGTGCAGAGACCTCATAGCAAGGTGCAGCCTCAAATGCAAGAAAACACCCTTTAAGCAGCAGTCCAGAATTCTCCTGGGAGGGTAGCAAATGCCTTAAAATACTGCTACATGCTAGAAATGATCTTTCCTACACTTACCAACTTTCTAAGTGACAGAACATTACCAACTATCCTTTCTGTGCCACCACAGTGAACAGGGGTACACAGGTCCTTGTGAAAGTGGAGGATTAGGGTAAATTTGAGTATGCTGCAGTTCTGCTAAATAGTATTCGAGCAGGGCATAGCATTGAGTGGGGCAAGCCTCCTCGTCTGCTGCCTTTGCCTAAGTGTTGCCACTCAAGAGAGACTCAGTATAAACTCCTTATTTTCTGGTCCTTCCTGGAGGAGCCACTGCCTTCTCAGAAGGCATTTCCCACCTCTTCTGACCCCACGTAGCCTAAGCCTCCTTTCAACCCTCATGCGTGAAGCCAGAAAAATGCAGAAGCAGTTTTCCTTGAGGACTGTGAAGCTGCTGTGTCCTAATGTGGGCCAGTTCCAGCTGAAGAAACTGGAAAACCTGTGTGTATCAGTGGGTAGAAAAAAGCCTGCATTTTTAGCAGAGAAAAATGACCACACTTTAAGAGTAGGATTTTAGGTGCCAAAAGATCACAAACAATCATTTCTGCTGAACCAACTGAATGTGTCACAGGATTGATTTTCTCATACAACTGGAAACATTTTCTATAACCCAGATTAACCATTATCCAGATAAAAGAATCCTTTAAAAGCACCGGCAACTGCATACACAGCGCAAAGCTTCTAAAAAGGAGTTGTAAGAATAATAATCAATATTGTCCAACAAGAAATTAATGTCAATGTTTTGTTAAAAAAAGACTCTACTAAGCAACAGGGCTATTTTCTTCTGTTCTAGAAATGTTTTGTAATGGGGCATCACTGGACTATTACTGTCATTCTCTCACCAAAACAAATTATCTAAGTCTATGATAAAGCAGACTAGAGGTTTTTTCAAACATTCTGCTTTTCTTCCTTTCCTCTGAATAGCTACAAATCAAAGTCCAGTTTTGCAATACCTTTTCCCTTAAATGTGCAACAGCATATATAATCCGGGATTGTACGGGCCACAGCTTTTGGGCTGGGTGATGACTGGGTGCAATCTGTTGTACTCTGGCTAGAAAAGAGGAGGTAAGCAGAGACAGGAGGAACATGGAAGCATGTGGTGGCTGGTACACACATTCCACCCCTTTCTGGGGACCCTTTCTATGCAGCATGGGATATATTTATGCACTTTGCATATTCACACACCTCTTCCCTTTACACACGGTAGCTTAAGGCCCCATTTTGGAAGGTGCTACTAATTTCACATGTTGAAATGTGCTGGTGCTGGGTGAACACAGGTGACTCCAGGGAGCAGAGCTACAACAGCAATACTCAACTGCATGGAAACAAGAATGGAAAGAAGTTCCTTTGGTTTTGGCAGTACTCCCATTGCCACATCTTCCAGACTCACAGAGGTGGTATAGAGATAAGGGAGTCCAGCACATCCCTTCTCTCTAACTCCAATATGTCTCTAGCTTCTTCTCATGTCAGGGATAAAGGAAGAATCTAGCATAAAAAATATCTTTAAATATCTCCATTTACACAGTCCTTCAGGAAGAAGAAGCTAGGATAAGCTTTTCTGCACCAGGAACAGACAGCAAAAGGAACTTGGCACTTTGATGTGTTTTGTACTAATCTGCTGCTGTGTTGCTGCATCTTCCCTCAGATGTTGCTGACATCTACTGCAGAGGAACTTGAGAGCACATTTTCAGCAGGTAGCATAGGTGGAGTCCTGTAGCCAGATTTAACAGTAAATCCATGTAACAGCATTCTGTTTTCAGGTAGAATAAATGTTTCTTTGGTAAGGATTTGTCCATCCCTACGGGCTTCCTGTCATCCTCCTAAGTCTGAAAAACGTATTTGGTTCAGCTGTCAGTTCTTACATCCATCGGTCCTATGTCCATTTGATGGTAAAAGAAGCTGCCATTTTTCACATAATATTTTAAATATCAAATGACAGGCATTCACATTAATTCATTCCATCCACATTTTTCTTACCTCGGCTTTTATGACCCTGTTCGTGCCAAGCATTATAGAGACTCTTTCTAGCTGTGCTTAGTAGTCCCATTAGAAGTGATCCACTAACCTTCACACAAGTGACAGACTACCTTGCCTCAATTTCTCAGCATTTCTTAGGAACAAGGGCCTGTCATTTGTATTTGCTGGATTTCTTCACAATATTTTGAAACGGGCTTGAACTGCTTTGTCCTTCCTTTCCTACTGTTACTAATCTTTCTCTGAACTTAGCCACATTCTGAATATCACAGGCATTGCATTTTTTTCTAGCATATACTTTAGCCCAGCATATACTTTAGCCCTCTTATATCTAAGTTTTTCCAGTTAGCAGTGATGTACTTCTCTATATTAGTGAGGCAGAGGGTGGCCAACAGATTCACCACTGATTTGAGGATTTGAGTACACAGGGAGACATCACTTTTCCAGACCATACAGCCTTCTTATGACCACACAGCCCTCAGTCTCAGAGCACTTTGTGTAGGAAGATCATATCATCATTCCTATCTAACTGATGCTTGGAAACACTCAAGGCCCAGAGGGCAAAGCAGCTTCCCTGCAGTCACCTAGGAGGGCTCAGAGCAGGATCCAGCACTCTCTCGCTCTACAGAACTGCTCACTCCAGGAGACAATGATGCCTTGGCAATGAGTCACAGTCGAGAGATGAGAAATCTCGAGTTAGAATAACCAGATGCTGTATCAAACAGTATGCTGTATGTAAGGACACACCTAATGCTTTTCTGGACCAGAACTGATAGGACTGAAATGTGACAGTCAGAAAAAGAATGGTGGCTTTCTGAAGAGAATTTTTTAATCTTTAGCTGGTAAAAGTGAAGTGGTGTGAAATAAAAGCTTGTATGGATCCATACTGTTAGTTATTATAAGTTTGCTTTGTTCATTTCCATGAAACAAAAACAGTTTTTTCTGGTATTTTACCTCTGTGATAAAAATCTGCTGTTAAATATTAGGATAATTGATTTAGGACTTTTCAGGTCATCAGTGCCGTTCCTCATTAACAGATCTATGCTTCTAATGTCTGACAAGAAGGCTCAACCATGCTATTACTCACACAGGTTGTTTGACTGGCTCCACTATACTATATATAAATGAGTAAGGGTTCCAGGATTGACCCTTTCACTTTGTGTAAGCCTGCTTTAGGAATTAGTTTTTTCTAAGTTATCCCAATACTTTTTCGAAACATGACAGATGATGTAACACTAATAAGTAAGAAGTTCTCAGCTCCTAAACCCTGGCTCTACAAATGCTTACATACACGTAAGTAGTCCTACACATGCTCATACCTTTAAGCTAAGAAACATGCCTACTAAATTCAGAGTTTAACAGTTCTTGCAGTAACTACTGAAGATCGAAGAGAGACATGTTCTAAGCCAGTCACTTAGATTATCTAAACTGAGCAGCAAAAGAAAGCCCTAATATAAATTAAAAACAGTGGGTTTGTATACAGAGAAGTACTGAGGGCATGGATGCTGCAGGCTGTATGAAGGTGAGGCTCCCTGTAAGTTTGCCTCCTGTCATGTATTTATTGACTGACACCGCAAACCCAGAAAACAGACTACATGGGTAACACAGACCTTAAGAGTATCTGTGACAACAACAGTGTTTATCTGCCAAGTGAGACCTGTCGTTAGCTCTCAGCTGTGCTCTGTAATAGCCAGGACAAGCTTGTTGTTAAGTTCTTCTCCCCACTTGTTTATCTGACTTGACAGCCCTCATTTCTACACCAGGATTCCTCTGTCTAATTACAGCAGTTATTCTAAATGAAGTAAACAGAAGAATGTTCCTATTGCATAACATGAAAATCTCTCCCAGGTCCCCCAGTCTTAAACTCTGGTGGCAAATACCAATTACACAGAATAGAAGAAGCAAGACCTCAAGAGGACCTCTTTAATGTTTCCTTTGATAGGAGAACAAATTTATGGCTGAATAAAGCTGTTCCTGTACATTTCTGCATCAGCAAATGAAAAATGGGCTGAGAAAGGCTGACCTTTTGCTGCTGCTTTTCTGAAAACCAGAAGCTGGCAAGAAGCAACAGGACCTCCTCTGGAGACATTCAAAACCCACCTGGACGCATTCCTGTGTAACCTTATCTAGGTGTTCCTGCTCCAGCAGGAGGACTGGACTAGATGATCTTTTGAGGTCCCTTCCAATCTCTAGCATACTGTGATACTGTGACAACAGAAGTTAAGACCTTCCACATTTAGACAAAAACAGGATGGGTAGGGCTGCCCTCTGCTACCCAGTGTCAAAGATAAGGGAGAGAAAGAGGAGCCAACAGATAGTATCTTCAATGCAGAGAATATCTAGAGAAGATGAGTGCTTTGAAAAGGAAGTCTGGATAAGTTAATGGGTCTCCTGCAAAGAGGGGAAATTTGCCTCAATGACTCCTTAAATCTCCCACAGGCCTTGTAAATTTATGTGGTCTCTTCATACAATGACACAGCCTTTGGAAAAAGGTATACTGGTATGTGACAGGGAAGAGTAGTCTGAAGACAATTCTCACAACAGCAGAAAAAGACATTTCTGCTGGAGAAATAATACGGGAAGGAATCTGTAGAAAAATAAACAAGACATGAAGTTGTTTTGTGGAGATGGAAGCTGTCACTAAAGACAATAAACATCTGGTGGTGCTGATTATATGTTAGGAGCCAGATGAATCATGTATGACTAGTATAAGGCTTGTAGGACTGAAGCTAAGTCCAGGTTTACATATTTGAAAGAGCAGAGTAAGTACTTACACATCTTTAGTGGTCCCCGTGGCACCTAGAATGAAAAGAAAAAAGTGTATGTTTACAAGACAATAGACAATAATCCTCTAAACCAATCAATAGTGCAGTAAGCATTTTTCTGCCTTTTTGTCCTAAATGATGCAGAAATAGCAACAGGAATTTTCTGTTGTCAGAAAACAGGTTTCTCATGATTGTCTAGTTTATCCTTAATGACTATGTATATCATCCCTTAAGTGTATCATGCTCAGGTCTGGATCAGATTCTCAGAGGGTGAAAATGATGCTGCTGTGGACCAGTGCTCAGTCACTCAGGATAAGAGCAACATAAGATAAAATTCATCTTTCTGAATTTTATACACTTCACATTGCTCAGTCTCCTGATGGTATTGTCTGCTACAAAGTCATCACAACTAACCAAGCAGTTATTCCTGAATGCGTGCTTACTTTGCTGGTTGATTCAGCTGTAGACTTGGCACTACATGTGTAAACTGATGCTCCATTCTTACTGCCAGATAAACAAAGTTTCATAAAACAACTAGACAGAACTAATATAAACACTGGGACACGATCCATCCAAAGCCCCAAACCTCTAAAGGGATCACCCAACCCTTAATTCATCTTGCAATTTAACCAAAAAGCAAAAAGACAACAGCTACCACTGAGCTGCCTGATCTGCGACTGATTTTTGGGTTTTGGTGACTCAGATACTTCTTGCTGGGAGAGGAACATTCACTCAAGTACAAACTCTTTCCTGTTCCTCCCAAGTTATTAATGACATATTGCTATTGCTAGTATATCATTCAGCTGAGTAACCAGCAAATTACCCCCGATATTAATTACAGAAGGTAGACATTATAGAACAGTTCACATCTCCTTTTCCTCACCCTCTCAGTACTTAGGTGGAAGAAGTTATCCAAGCTCACTCTGAAGAAACTACAGTTGTCATTCCAAAAGATTTTAGGGGTTTGGAAGAATGTTGGGGTTTTTCAGCTATGGCACTTCATTTCCTGAAAACTTTATTTTTGCTGGTGAGAAATATCCATAAATATCTTTTGTCTCTCTCTGATGTGCAAGAATATGCCTTCTGCATCATTATTTTAATGCAGAGAGGAAGAAACAGCCCTGCAAGGCCTTCAAGCACTGAATGGATGGCTTGGTTGGCAGAAAACGTCTCCCTTTACAGCTAACTCTAGAACATAATATCACTCCCAATTCCTATGACTTGACCATACCTCCTTTTCCCAGCAACAGTGCAGAGTAGACTTGCAGAAGACATTTCTTTTGTTAGTATTGTTTCAAGAGTCAGCAAAATCTCAGTACAGCCGTAAGTATGAGCAGAAACCCTCAATTAAGCTGGAGGGAGTACCTCTATGCACAATAAGCTCAGGTTCTTGCTTTAAAACTTTATTCTGTCAGGAAGCTTTCAAAAACATTTTTGCTTTACAGGCACATCTAGATAGTACTACATACAAACCCTCCGAATTAATTGTGCGCAGGTGGAAGATCGGTATTGCAGTGCTGCATGCAAGCTCAACCTCAGATGGTGTAGGGAGGTATTTTCTGCTAGCAGGGCTAGTTCATCCAGAGTCAGCTCAGCTATGTACCTCCAGAGCATCACCCTGCACATCTAGACAGAGCCTAGGCATCAGCAACACCTCAGACAAGCCTAGATCCATGGCTGCAGCTAGCAGGATTTCTTATTTTTTCCCAGAAGAGACTTCCTGTGCTGAATAATAGAGCAACAACTTTCTCATTTTTCTCAATCTAAACTCACTGCAAACAAACTCAGTTTCTTCAAAAAGAGTCATGGTCCTTTGTGGAGCCTTTACCAAGCCTCTTCCAAGTCTGAGCTGAGGTCTCAGCACTTTGGATCCTCATTTGCAAAACTAATACTTTTCCTGCAGGAAGTATACCAAAAGTAAGAAGTGTTAACACACATAATGAAACTTCAGCTGAGCTAGAACTGTGTACCTACAGTACTGCTACATTTCCCAGTGGAGATGCTCAAGTTCTAATCAGTGCCGTGCCCACTTGCAACACCATACTGGTCTTCAATACATTATGGTACCTGTACATTTGCACTCTGGGGACAGCAGCTGTCGCTCAGATCCACCAAACTGGGCTTTGTATAGAGCTATGAACCTGCATTTGAGAACAGAGACGTGCCACTAGCATTCAGACCTGGCAGCACTTGCTTCCTTTGAATAATAAAGAGGGTACCACTGTTGAAAAATCACTGCAGCATTTTGAAATGCACCTCAAACAAAAAAATTGAGAACTAAGTATAATGAAAACAAATTCACCTTTTAAGGGATAACTTTTACTATTAATAATAGTTAAAAATATACAATAAAAAATAGTTTGTTATCTATTGTTTTTATAAACAAAAAGAACCAGGTTGTCCTCACTTCCAGCAGTGGGATTCCATTGATTTCAGTGATGTTACTTCCGATTTTCACTAGCAAAAGTGAAGCAACAGTTTGGTCCAAATTCACCTGGTACCACAACAGTACCTGAATATGTACCTGAAAGTATTTTCAGTTCACAAAGTAGTTTTCTTTCCGGAAGAGTTCTGAGCTTGCAAATGAACACCAGTTAGGTGGCCCATGAAGTATCTCTGTTCAAAAACTCATAAGGTTTTCTTAACATTAGGGAGACTGAACACTCCTTATAGATAGATTTTATTTCACAAGGAACTCAGCAACATCTCAGTTTGTACAGACATGTTTGTTTTTGAAGTCCAATACACTCACTCTCACCCATTACTTCACTGACATATTTCTCTAACTCTTCCATGTTTAGTGATCAACACATTATTTTACAGCCACTCAAGTTCGTCCTGCCAGAAGTTCAGCCAAAGAATCTTATTTACTACTGACTCACAAGCAGTGCATAGCTGTTCCACAGCAGCAAGGCTTAGTGCTTTCATAGCCATGATGTTTTAGATAGATGACTTGTGAAAAGCCTCACGTATTTCCCACTATATCAGCTTGGCCTAAAAAATAGCCACACTTGACCCTACAAACCTTGTCTTGACAGGCTCATGTTGATTTGGTTTTCCAAAACCTGCCTAACCTCAGCAACAGATTGAGGGGTAGCCAAGAAGCTACGTCCACAAAAAAATGGGCAGTGGTGAATTGTCCTCAATAACCTCTCTGCTCACACCATCTATGTAGTAGGAACATGAGCATTTTAGAGCTGCAGGAGGAGAAGGAATAGTACAGCCTGCAGAATAAACAAGGCCCATTTAGCCATATATTGCTCTGAGCTCAAGTAAATACATAAAAACATTCTGTCTAAAGGAGTGGAGCTGTGATCCCTCAAAAATCCCCATAGCATTTAAACAGCTACAAATGAAGAAGGATGAGAACATATCCCAAAGCATCTTCCACTCGGTGAGAGGGGGATTTGCACTTTCAAAACAACAGCAGCTTGTTACTGGTGACCCTCCAGGATTTCAGTAAATGCAGGACAAATACAAAAGATGGTTGGAAGAAATTGTTGGCCACAGATGATATTCCTCTGTGCTGAGAAACACAACATAACATGGAAGACAAAAACTTCAGAAAAACATAAAAAGGATGAGAGGCAATAATCTACATGCATAATAACATGGATGCAAAAAATGCCAGTATCTGACCTTAGAGCAGATTATGAAATATTTTCCCATTAAATTTTAATGGACAATTTCCTACAACATTTTCTTGCAAATACTTCAAATTACAAAAAGCAAATAAACTGCTCAAAATTACACATACGTGCATGCAACAGTTATGATTGAGTTTTCTATTGTGGGCTCCTTTCTGATTTGCTCCAAAAGACAGCAATATGGAACCAAGTACTACCATCAATGAAGGACAGAATGATATTGATTTACTTCAAATGGATTACTTCTTCAATTGATGAGGTGGCAGTCCTGTACATATATTTGACCTGACCAACAATAAATACTAAAAATTAGTTGGATTTTAAATAGAATGTCAGGATGGTTTCCTGGCCATTCCACCAAACTTAATGATCTGTTTAAACTTTGTGTAAAAGTTCTCCTTTATCATAATTTGGCTGTATTTGAAGCTTTCTGCAGACTAACAGCTCCCCTGCATACTCAACTACACTGCCAGCCTTCACTGAGTACCATAACTTAAGGTGCTGTCATTGCTACTACAATTCATGTAGAAAGGAGAAGGCAGTTAAAAACTGATAGTGAAGCAGCACTTGCATGGAGGGCAATACCTTAACTCAAAAAAAAAAAGAGTATATTAATTTTTAAGGACATATTTTTAAAAGACCAAAAAAGAAGAGCTATTTTGGAGCTTCTAAAACACCAGGAAATAAAATGAAAGAGGGATATGTAAAGCAAGGCTAAAAAAAAAAAAAGAGGAAAACAGCAATTTCTTGATGAAAATCCCTATGGGTAATGGGAAATTTTTTAAGTATAATCTACATCTAACACATAAAATAGGTGATTTAAGAAGGATGCATATACAGGGAACCATAGAATCACGGAATGGCTTGAGTTGGGAAGGAGCTTGAGATCATTTAGTTCCAATCCCCCTGCCATGGGCAAGGACTCCTCACACTAGATCAGGTTGCTCCAAGCCCCATCCAACCTAGCCTTGAACACTTCAAGGGATGGGGCAGGAAGTTTACTTGGATAACAGAAGTTGCCATTTCTCAACTGAGGAAGCTTTTGCCAGTGTCTGATGTTCTGGAAGGAAGATTGAAACACTGTGATTTATGTTGGTGTTCTGGAGTACCACACCACAGACAGAAACGTTATTCTAGATTATGCCTATTAGTTTATATCTCGCAGACCATAGGGCTGATAGCTCCTCTGATGTCATTCTAGCCATGCAACAAAAGATAATATCATTAGCTGAACTATCATTACATATATGTCTGCTTAGCAAAAAGCAAGTTAGGCTACAATAGAAATTTCACTGGAGTAAGAAAATGGGGACTAGAGTAACACATTTAATGTCTTCTGTGAAGTATCATACAATATTATCCTTAGTCATATGACAGAGTGTTACAGGTTAATTATATGTTACGTACCTTTAGTTTTGACATTACTGACTGTAGAACAGTCATAACTTTAGCGCTAAAGATCTAGTCATACTGTGCAAACCACACACTTAATTTGTATTTACACAGTATTCATGTATTTTGGTAAAATACTGAGTTGCGCTTTCCTTAAAAGCTCTAGGATTCTGATTAAAAATGGTACCTCTTCTTGCCCTGTATAAAACAACTTTATTTTTGTCAGACACACTTTTTAAGGAATGCTAAATGGAAAAAATAAATAGTAGGTATCTGACTTCTTACTTTTATTACCAGTTGTTTGTTATTTTAAGATGATAGACTGCATAGAGTTATTCCTGTCCGACAGCAGTGAAAGTGAGAAGAAAACCGGACCTTTCAAAGCTGTATTTGCTTTGGAAAGGTCTATCAGTACAATAATACTAATTACGTGTTTTTCATGAAGCTGTTTTTCACCTGCACTAAGCCACTGAAGATCTGTTGGCTATTTCTAAAGAGCGTGCAAAAGGTTGCCACAAAACGCACACTGAAATATTTTATGAGAAACAGTACACGAAAGCTGAACTACCAAAGGGGTCATACCTTCAGTGAAAACATTTTATGAACCTGCAAGGCAAAACCTGTTGAAGATAACTGTTTTTAATGCAACCATTGACACATTTAAACAAACACCTTTAGTTCAAAATAATTCACTAAATAATAACTGCTGCCAGAGTTAAGCCTAACTGACATTTACACATTTGTGGCCTGTTACAAGCTCCACAGGGTGGCCAGACCTACATTAACCAAGAAGCTACCACAAAGGGACTAATAATGAACTCAGAATTTTCCTCTGAACTTCTCTGATGCTAGCTCTGGTGCTTTTACCCAGCAAATAGAAATAAGATGAGAACAAGCAGCATCCCAGCAGCATGAAGCTGGTCATAAACACTGGTCAAATACTGAAACAACTTCCAGTCACAGCAAGACAGGAATCAACCAACAGGAGAGAATTACAGTCTGCAAACTTGACAGCTCTAATAAGAGTGCTGGAAGTACAAGCAAATTCATACAGTGCATTCTTTATGGATGAGAGAGGCCTCTGATTATTCACACACATGATTATTCACACTCAAAGATATGTCCAGTTCTTCAACGCAGGACTAGCACCAGCCGAGGCACCACTGAAGCTCTGGATAAAGTAAGTCAAAATAGTAAGAGATGGAGACCAACTGGTCCAGCCACTCTTTTGCTGGCAATTTATGAGGTTCTGAAGCTAACAAGTTCATCTGAAAGACTGAATACAGGTACTGAAACAGGTGATAATGTTTGCCGAGTGCAGTTAGGATGAAAAATGATTGAGAAATGTTCATATTTACAAGCACACGGTGAAGGTCCACTTATCTATTTCCACGTATTTTCCATTTTTTGCAAGGGCTAGGGAGGAGGAGAGCACAACAGCACCATCTTCCCAGATCTTATCTCTTTTGAAAATAACAATGAACAAATAAGGGAGCCAGATGGACACACCAGCTAGTGGTACACATCAGCACGCAGGAAGCCTCAACCATGGAATATCCTTCAACTTCTCCAGCAAGCAGAGGAGAAGAAGTGAAACAAATTCATTTCAGAAGTGGCATTCGTGGCCTTATACGGAAGCAAAGAGGATGGAACGTACATCCCCCGCAGGATCCTTATGTCCAGCTCCTGGCCTGGGCTGGCTGTGCCCAGGACAGCTATTGTTGGAGGCAGCGATCATAACAGTGATCCTAAAGACAACCCGGGCACCTCAGTGCCAGGCAGCCTCAGTGCTGCCCAGCGGGCCACATCACCCTCTATCCCTCGGGCAAGTGCATCAGCCTCGGGAAAGAAAGATGCTCGGGGAAGGGTCGCGGGCAGCGACCCCCGCGGCTCGGACGGGCATCCCCCAGACCGGCGGAGGGGGAGGCAGCCCCACCGGGGATCGTGAGTGTAGGGGTGCCCGGGGTTTCCTCACGCCACCGCTCACCCAGCCCAGCCCAGCCCGGCCCCGCACTGCCCGCACCGCACCGCACCGCACGGTACCGCCGCCGCCCTACCTCGCCCGCCCGCGCCGCCGGCCGTGGAGTTGCCGCAGCCCATGGGCGCTGCCCTGCCCGGCGCTGCGCCCGGCTGCGCGGAGCGGTACGGCACGGAGCGGCGACGGGAGGCAGCCGGCGGCGGGCGGAGCCGGGTGGGAGATAAAGCCGCGGGGACCCCTCCTCCTCTTCCTCCTCCTCCTCCTCGTCTTCTCCCCACCCATCGCCGGAGAAACCGGCGGCCCCGAGCGCCGCCGCCCGGCCCCGCACTGCACCCCGCGTCCATCCCCGAGGAAAGTCGCCCCCCGCCTCCTCCGCTTTCCTGAGGCTGGAGCTGCTAAGCCGGCGGTAAGGCTCGACACAGGGATAACCCTGCCGGACCCCGAAGGATCCCCACAAGGATGCTCGGAGAGTCCACTTCCAGTGGAGGTGCTCCTTGCTGCTTCAGGACACCCGTCGTTCCCCGCGGGGGAAACCGGTGGAACCCCAGGTGCAGGCTGCAAGCCTACAACTGCTACTATCAGTAACATCCAGTTCACCATCTTAAGCAAGTATTTATTGGTCACTTTCAGTATTTCTCTTCTTGTAGAAATATGATGGTGAAACTGCCGATCCACTGGGTTGGTAAGAGCTACAGATTCACTATTCCAAATTAATATCAACATCACTAAGAAATGTGCAAGATGAGTTTACAAAGTGAGTCTTTTTTCCTAATTCAAAATTTGTATCATTCCCCAAACTGAATTTTACTTATTTTCTGCTAACCCAAACCGTTCTTCCACACAGAGAAGGACAATACTTCCAAACTTTGATGACTGACTCTTGCTCAGGCCTCTCAAATGACCATGGAGTGGAAACCCCAAAGATACAGCCAGATGGAAACACAAATACATTAGAGCAGATAGATAGATATGTCCCTGTTCAGTGGAGGAGGGGGGGTGGGGGGGTGGACTAGATGACCTTTGGAGGTCCCTTCTAGCCTAAACTATACTATGATTCTATTTTGCTGCTACAACAAATCTGTTTAAGGGCTCAGAAAGATGTTTTTGGGGTGTCACATAAACACCAGTACAAGTCTCACATATACATATGACTGATAACTATGGCAAAGAGGCCAGATAAAAAATGCTGCTGACTGATGGTTCAGTCTATTCAGAGAAGAGAAACAAAGATACCTCAGTCCTTTTACAGACTTCCCCAAGCACACATATTAAAAACAAGCAACTCCATAAACGGCAGAGTCAATAATGTCCAGTCCTCTATGGATCTTTGCCCTGGGGAGGCACACCTGCATGGCCCACTGATGTCCAGCTAGCACTGAGCACACCTTACAAAAGAATGGGCATCTGTAGGATCTCCCTCCTCTGGCTGGCCATGATATTTGTAGGAAGTCAACAGGTCTTTGCCTACACCTCCCTGACAAACTGCCTGAACCTGAACAATCAGTTCACAATTTAACAATTAGGCAGGGCTAATGGGCACATCGGCATGGCCCCATAACTCCTTCACCACCAGCAGCCCCCAAGCAGACAGGTGGCATCATTGTGTGTGTTTTGCTTCAGAAAAAAACATCTCACAAAGGTTTACAGCCACCTCTTTCTGGTGGCCAATTTTCTGACAATCACATATAGAAACATACATCCTCAGGCTGAGCTTTCAAGTGCCAAGCATCAGCCCAAAGGGAAAAGTTAATGGCAGAGTTAAGAGGGTTAAAAGGGTGCTCTGAGAGCAAGGCTGAAGGACACGCTGCTGCTTAAGATCCCATATGGTTTTCTAATACAAAACCAAACAAAAAACCCCAGCATCCACACTGACCATAGACTTGGCACACCGCAGAATAATCTATCAACATGGTTTTAATATATAATTTACCTGGGAGGAAGCAGTTGTGGTGAGCACAGAAACCGAGCCATCTCTTCGCATATTAGAAGAGGCAGCTGGGGAAGCAAAAATATCCCCTGGGGATGCCTCACACCGAGCCATTGCCCTGGCCACAAGGAGAAGATATGAGACTGGTTCAGAAACCTGCAGTACTATTAAGGATGTCAGAAAGATGCTGTAGCTTCCTTCTAAACACTCATACTCCTCTTAAAAGTTCACTGCATTGTACACAAGGCGAGCACCCTATGTGTATAAACTAAGAGCTGCATTGAATCATAGAATCATAGAATGCTTTGGGTTGGAAGGGACCTTAAAGATAATCTAGTTCAACCTCCCTGCCATGGGCAGTGACACGTTTTACTAGACCAGGTTGCTCAAAGACCCACCCAATCTCTCCTTGAACACTTCCATTGATGGGTCATCCACATCTCTGGGCAACCTGTGACAGTGTCACACCACACTCACAGGCAATAATTCCTTCCTAATATCTAATCTAAATCTACCCTCTTCAGTTTGAACTCATTCCCCCTTGTTCTGTCACTACATGCCCTTGTAAAAAGATCCTCTCCAGCTTTCCTGTAAGGTCCCCTTTAGGTACTAGAATGCTGTTCTCAGATTTCCCCAGAGCCTTCCCTTCTCCAGGCTGAACAAGCCCAGCTCTCTCAGCCTGTCTTCACAGGAGAGGTGCTCCAGCCCTTTGGGCACCCAACCAAAGCTGAAGCTAGTAGCGATGCCAGGGAACTTAAGACAAAAATAATGTGATATGTTCCTCTGTATACCTTTCTATATATTTTCCTCTATATACCAGCTCATAATGAGGCAGCCCCTTCTGAACTTTCTCTCTTGGCAGGTGTATTTTAGGTGCTTCCTGTTTCAAGTAAGAAGACACACTTCAGTTTCAGCTTTACCTGTGATCATTTCACTTTATTACTGAAAATAACCATTTTCAAAGTACAGTTGCATAAGCAAGTTAATTAAATGAACACTTTATATTAAAGTAAAGGAGCGGTGTGTTCCCTGCATCAGTAAACTCTCAGTGTCTGCCATCATGCACCCTGCGTACTCCATCTCCTCTGAGGAAGATTGGGAAATGCATGGATGTGAGCTTCTGCAATTATTTCAGGTGTAGTGAGAAGGGACTTTGCTATTATTACCCTAAATCAACCTAAAATTTACTCAGTTAGGAAAACAGGTTGGCTAACAGGATTACCCAAATCTGAAATTCCAGTGATTTTCTTTTTTTGGACATTTTGGCCACTCTTGAGTGTTTGAAATCCAAACAATCTGCTTGTCAAGTTGATACGCAGGTCTATGGAGAAGGATTTTTAAATCCTATAGTTACTTACGGGTATTAGAGAACAGCCCTGATTTGTATAGAAATGTATAATTTCCCAAATTCTTTCTTATCTAAGCAACCATATAGAAACTTTATTCATTCGTGACTTTTACTTATAAAAGACTTATTTCTAAAAGCTTGTATCTCAGCTCATGCAAGTATAGAAAACATGTAGTGCTAATGACCATCTTCTGGGTATTTTCTTTTGAAGAACATCTTTTAGACATGGATGTTCTCAAAATCACAAGTGTCCTGAAAAGGCTATCAGTTCTTCATCAGTACTTAGCATCCTAAGATTAACTTTTTCCTGGTCACGTTTACAACAGGAATTCAGTTTACACCAAACTTTCCCACTTTAAGATTTGCACTACAAATCCATTGTCGAGTTCCTGTGTTTTCAGGCTACCATGTATTATGTTTCTCCCTGGACAGTTTTACACTCTTGCTACAGCACTGTTGTTTTATAGCTAGCAACCTGAGCTAGTAACTTTCACTGACTTGTTCAAATAGCATGGTGCTGCATGGCTGTGATCACTTAACCACCAGAGGTCAGAGACTTACACCCCAAATTTCCCAGTAAACCTGCAAGGATGATTCTGCTTGAAAAGTCAGTAGTCCAAGCCTCAGTCTACCACCCAGAAAAGCTCTCTTGGGTCATCTAGGGGTTATTTGAATTTACACGGCAGTAAACAAAGCCCAAGGAATCAAGACAGTGAATTATTTTCATTGATATGAACAGTAAAAAAAAATAAATTAAAGATCAAGAGCTCAGTAAAAGCCATCATGATTCCACAACCATCAAGGTACACACTACATGGCAGTGGGCATGCTTCAGGATTTTATATACAGTGTCCCGGATTCAGATGTAACAGTTATTTTTCTCCTTCCTAGTAGCTGGTGCAGTGCTGTGATTTGGCTTTAGTCTGAGAATAGTGCTGATAACACCGATGTTTTGAGTTGTTGCTAAGTAATGTTTACCCTGATCAAGGACTTTTCAGTCTCATGCTCTGCCAGGGAGGAGAGGAAGTCGGGAGGAAGCAAAGACAGGACACCTGACCCAAACTAGCCAAAGGGGTATTGCATACCACAACACATCGTGCCCAGTATATAAACTGGGAGGAGTCACCTGGAAGACCTAGATTGCTGCACGGGTTGGGCTGGGTATTGGTTGGCAGGTGGTGAGCAATTGTATTGTGCATCACCTGTGTTTATAGTTTTCCTTTTCCCCTTTTACTTTTATATTCTTTCCCCTTGTTATTTCCCTTATCATTATTATACAAACACTCCCCCATGTTTCTACTGCATTTCTTAATATAACACTCATATTGTGATAACATCTGATGTTCACACCAGGCTGATTCCAACTGTACAGGGTACCACCTGGACATATAATGAATTTTAATCTTTGCTGGCAGTCAGAGAGACAAGAAATAGCTGACTGGTGAGATAACAGAGAAGTGAAAGTAGGAAACAGTGGGATAGGATTACTATTTAAAAAAAGGATGCACCTAAAAATAACATAAACAAATAAAAAGCTGTATTAGGTCAAAGCAAAGATCCAGCTTGCTCAGGATCCTGTCTCTGGCAGCTCTGAAAGAACACAGGACACCCATGTGGGATGTCTCCCCCCAAACTCTCCCATTTTCCAGCCTTTGCAGATCACAGTCTACCCAAAACAGACATGGTCGCTATACATTTAGCAACCCTCAAAACATTTCTGCCTATGAACCTGTCCCACCCACCCTTGAACCCAAACATAAGACCCTGGACCCAAACATTCCTGTGTTCCACCTCTCAGCCACATGTGATTTGAAGAACCTCCTTTTGTTTGCTTTGAGCCTGGCTCTTGCCACCTTCCAGCTATTGATGGTTTGTTCCTTGGATCAGGATAAACACTAAAGAATCAATCACTCATTTTATGTCATTTATGATTGTTTTTCACAGTAGAATAAACACCACAGAATCAAACAATCAATATGCCACATCCCCTATGTTAATCTTTGGTTAGGATCAGTGATGGTGAGCTGTCATTTCCTGGCAGCTCTACCAACAGGTAGTTAAAATACTTTGAAAGAGATTTGATGTGTAAGGACTTAAAAACCCCGTTCTACAGACTAAATTCTGCTAGTAATACCAAGCTTATAAAAG